TCTTTTACGATATGAGACACTTAAGAAATTTTACACGGCAAGACCTTTTTAATTAATTTAACAATAACATTTTACAAAGGATGATGCCATTCAATTTTTTATTAGAATCATTTGTTAATAATTATTAATCCTTTTCAATTGAAAAGGACCCAAAAAATAAAATTGGGCGATATTTTTGTAAAAACTCCTGACTACGAAGTTTAAAATGATCATTATTATTCTTTTTTAACAGCTTCATTTTTACAATAACAAAGCAATCTCAAGAAAAAGAAAATTTTCCTTTGCGAATTTTTAATGCTTTAATTTACACAGAATAATAATTTTGAAACCGACAATATGCCCTGTCTCTTATACACATCTAGATGTGTATAAGAGACAGGGCATATTGTCGGTTTCAAAATTATTATTCTGTGTAAATTAAAGCATTAAAAATTCGCAAAGGAAAATTTTCTTTTTCTTGAGATTGCTTTGTTATTGTAAAAATGAAGCTGTTAAAAAAGAATAATAATGATCATTTTAAACTTCGTAGTCAGGAGTTTTTACAAAAATATCGCCCAATTTTATTTTTTGGGTCCTTTTCAATTGAAAAGGACCCAAAAAATAAAATTGGGCGATATTTTTGTAAAAACTCCTGACTACGAAGTTTAAAATGATCATTATTATTCTTTTTTAACAGCTTCATTTTTACAATAACAAAGCAATCTCAAGAAAAAGAAAATTTTCCTTTGCGAATTTTTAATGCTTTAATTTACACAGAATAATAATTTTGAAACCGACAATATGCCTATAAAAAATTATTTCTGATTCCTTACTATCAATTTGTTATTCAATGTTAAGCAGCGTTTTTGTTTTATTTTCAAAAGCTAAAATATTATTGTACAACGAGGCTACAACATTGTAAATTACAAAATTATAATCTCTTAATTCAATAAATAGTTAAAATATCCTAATGAAGTAGGAGCTGTTAGAAATGAGACGTTTATTTTAAAAGTGGCATAAGTTACTTTATTTTTAAGTCGATATATTTAAGGGTTTGCGTTTTAACACGTTTAAAAATATGCATGCTAACTTTCGAGAAGATTGTATTTGTTATCTCAGGATACTGATATTTTTCTCAGTATAAATAATTTCATATAAACATTAAAAAATCACCACTTTTCATTACGGTAAAGTGACTTATGCCACTTTCAAAATAAACGGCTCAAATGGAGATGAGGGGTGAAGAAAGAACATTGTATAATCACTATGGGACACGGATTGTCGAATATTTAATATTTGTACATCTACAACGGTAACAATACTTTACAGGATCTAATACTTTCGGCCGATAATGTATATCAACGTGGTTTTATCTTAACAAATAACATTTTTCTCGCATTCAACGACCACTGTCGGTCACACTGTTCGAATACCTGACCAGAACTCGTTGACACCCGAGGTCCTACTGTAATAACATTTCAATTTTTATCTTTTCTTTCACTAGCAATTACCTATAAAGTATAAAAAAAAAATATTAACGCAAGTACATATTACGGTGGTAGAACGCCCGGCGCGCATCTGTTAAAACGCGAATTTACTTACGAACTTTCGATTATAGAAAACGCGAAAGTTTCTCTCTCGATTCTTACAAATTCGAATGAAAAATCAAAATGTTCAATCACAGTTGTTGCTACGGTTAAGCCGTGGATCTTCGTGTCGGCACGGCACGCATATCTCTTCTTTCTCGCATCGAGGATTAATTAAGACAACGTTGCTATCTGACACGTCCTTTGCTCGGGTTCACTATCCTCGTCCGACTCACTTGCCCAAGAGGGCCGACGCTCATGTCACATATCCCCGTCGCTGTTGCCTATTCGACCTGTTGGCCCCGTCGCCCCATCGTCCATCACATCAGTCACCTTGCAGAATGATTGTCACATTTAGAAAATCTAGCTACTACATATTTTATCCAATATCGATTAAGTCATACGATTTTCATCGCAGAACTTTTCATAAGAACATGAATTTTTACTTCTTCGACTAATTTTATAGGAGAAATATTTTCAGGTACATCAATAATGTAGCAAAATAATTCTAGAATTTCAAGATGATAGGTTGAATCCGTTAATTGCGATAAATTCTCGAAGATTCCTTCAACATTTCCTTAAGGAAGCAATCAATTGAAAAAAAAAAAATATTTACGAATTTTTTCTGGACGATTAAATGAATTAATTTTCCAAAATCAACAAAATCTAGCTACTACATATTTTATTCAATATCGATTAAGTCATACGATTTTCATCGCAGAACTTTTCATAAGAACATGAATTTTTACTTCTTCGACTAATTTTATAGGAGAAATATTTTCAGGTACATCAATAATGTAGCAAAATAATTCTAGAATTTCAAGATGATAGGTTGAATCCGTTAATTGCGATAAATTCTCGAAGATTCCTTCAATATTTCCTTAAGGAAGCAATCAATTGAAAAAAAATAATATTTACGAATTTTTTCTGGATGATTAAATGAATTAATTTTCCAAAACGACTGCCACATTTAAAAAGGATATTTATACTACATGTAACCACTTCTTCGTCGACGTGATAAAATATACGGAGATGAAAAAGATCTCGAAGCAATTTGCTTTTATTTTCGTAGAAAAGATGATTCCTTCAGCTATCGACGCTATATTGGACTCTTTTGAAAAAATTCAAATTAAGTTTATCATCATAAGAAATTCAAACTTATCGTGTCGACCTACATTTCATGTGGGTGTAGGTAAGAGGATCCCGTAACTTTCGCATTATCCTCCGTAATACTGGGGGGTGCGTAATAAATTCATTCGTGTTTCGTTACACGAAAATTAAGCAAGTTCAACTAATTCTATGTAAAACTTGTGTGAATAATGCATGTACTATTTTGTTGCGTGAAGTTCTACCACCCTTGACAATTTAAACATTACTTTATTGTGAGGAGGTGTTTGCTTTCTTTTTTGTTAAAAATAGCTAACATTTGCAGCGTTCGCTGCATTTGCGTTCTTTGAAAGATTTTTCTTTTAGAAGACTCCAAGTATCCAAGTATCCGAAATAAAAAAAAAAGAAAATGAGCAAGAGCAGAAGCTAAAAAGCATCGGTTTTTTGTAGCGTAGTATATTTCCTCCATACTTTAAGTTTTTAATTCCATTATGGTAAAAAGTGTTTTCAGAGCTGATTGATCAGTATGTTTTACTTCAACAAACGTTTTCAATGCTTTTGGTGCAAATATAGCATTAATATCTCGTGCAGTTGTTACAAAGTTATGCGCATTGCTCCGTTCATACGAGAAACAACACGAAAATCACATTTTTAATAATGAAATAATTCGGGATACTAAGCAATTTGTAGGTATAACTTTATCCACTTCGAATATTCTTATCGTTCGCAACAAGAAAGTGGCATACAAAAACTTGATCTATACGAACGAGGACTTGGAAACGTGAAAAAAGTCGATAACCAGCTTCTGTGTCAGTTGCAGTTGAAGTTACATAAAGACAGTTACATAAAGGCTCTCTTAACAATTTTAATATGTTCAAAATAATGCAATGGTACTTCTCAAATTCCTTGATGTTTTTATTGTTTTGAATCTTAGCTACTGATTTTCATCGTACGCAGTCGAGTAATAATAAAAATACTAATAAAATATACACTAATAAAAATACGCGAAATGAACATTATCTCAGTCTTTGGTTTTATTTAAACAGACGTGTATCGCATCGATTTTATGACTATTATATATTCGTAAATTTTGTTAATTGTGAATTTCGTGTGCAACATCTTATCATCCTGAAAAATATACATATAGTGTAATATACATACAATTCTTCCTAATTGACGTTCAGATTTGACACAAAAATGAACAATTTGAGGAGAAGAAATAAAATCATTCGAGCCTTGCGGCTCGTTTTTATAATTATTGACAATCGGTAACTATAAAAACGAGCCGCAAGACTTAAATAATCGTGATTTTTATTGCGTTTGGATCCACGCGGTCGAGAAAATATGCTACTCTTTCTGCTGTTCTTGGAATTACAGTAAATTCTCCTTGATTGATGCTCAGCTTGTACACTTGTAGAAAATACGATTATTCGAGCCTTGCGGTTCGTTTTTATAATTATTGATAAACGGTAACTATAAAAACGAGCCGCAAGGCTTAAATAATCATATTTTCTTTTCCGAAATAGTCCATTTTCGTGTACAAGCTGAGCATCGATCAAGGAGAATTTACTGTAATTCCAAGAACAGCAGAAAGAGTAGCATATTGTCTCGACCGCGTGGATCCAAACGCAATAAAAGTCCGAAGCAACCCTAAATCAGAGAGCACATACTCGACATTTTCGTTATCACGGTCTCCGTTCAACCAACATCTTCCGGCTGTTCGTCGGGGCCGTTTTTTACCTACCAGTACTTCCTCGAAACGATCATAATGTTCGGACCTGGTGTTTAAAAGGCTTTCAGTCACCGAATCCGCGGCGTTGCTTATCTGGCAGACTGTGCCGCGATCCCCCAAAGCGCTGGACGCGATGTACAGCAAGGACAGCGCGGCCAGCAGTCCGGCTGCGAGCAGAAAGAAACAAAAGCGGAAGTAACCGGAAGAGTGGCTCCCTATAATTTGGAGTAGCGGAGGGAACGAGCGGTGTGCGTGTAACGTAATTTTTATGCACGTATCACAGGCTCCGCAGTCCATTTATTATCGCCAGAGCGGCTCTGTACAAAGATGCCTGAAAAAAGTACCAGCAACGTAGGAGAGCCAAAGACTGTGCGGTTTCCATGCCAAAATGCAGGACAGCGGCAGATAAAATAACGCTCTCCGCCAGCCGTTCGTTATCGCTAGGACGCCAGACCAGCAACAGGAACAGACCGACTCATCATTCCTGAAACAAAAATGCATGCCTGGTTTCCCTCTTACTTTCCCTCATCTCTTATCCATGACCACGGAACCGGGTACTTTATAAACAGTTTTTGCTATACTCTGCTATCTGCAGATTAGGTCGCAGCGATTCCAATTAATATATCCTGATGCTATTCAAACAGTGAGGACTTTTCGAATCTTGCAGGATGTGCACACTATTGTGGACGTTGTAACGTTATTTATATAACCGATGGAGCCGTTTCTTTAAATTTTCATTTTGACGTAAGAAATTTCGGATATGTGTACACGTATATATATTATATATAATAATAATAATATATTATATATAATAATAATAATATAATATAATATATATTATATATTTGTGAATGTACATTTATACGATCACGTTTACGTAACGAATAAGGTTGTTACAGCGGAATCGTCGTTGCCATCTTTTCTCTCTCTCTCTCTCTCTCTCTCTCTCTCTCTCTCTCGCGAGGAAACATATTCAAATTATAAATTTAAGAATTACATATTTGTTGAGGTGTTTCAGAAACTAGAGGGGTGCAGTTGTTGGAGTGGTTTAAATTGAGTTTTCAAATGCAATCTCTGATTCTCTTGAAATAATCCAATTTTGTTTAAAATTGTATGTATTTGTGTCACAAAATAAGGGATGTTAAACGTTTTAATTTTGGTTTTAGAAATGTCTTGAGAAAAATGTCTGTTTCATCGAAATGTTTCTTGTTCAGCATTTTAATGCCGACGATAAGAAATACGTCAGTTATTTTTGTGAGATCTTTCTTGCTTGTTACTTGGGTATGTTTCCTTGGCATGTCTTGTAGTATCATCCGTAAAAATATTTGGCACACATAATCGAATACCCTGTGTTCATTTTTATTTATGAGCGTATTCAAAGAACTGCGTATCAATACCTGACACAGATTTGCACGAACAGCGTGATGGCCCACGTGATTTCCAGGAAGAAGATGAAACCGGCTGCTGCTCTGAAATAGCATGAGAAGCATGAAACTAGGCGAGCGATCCTATGTACACCCTCATATGCGTACAGATGGGGGATAGCAAGAGGATCTGACATCACACATTACTCTCGAGTGTCCATCATTAGTCTACGACCGATAGCTCCGTGATACCGGCTGCTGTACATACATAGATTGATTGATGGATAACAGACATTATCCAACCATCATCTGCTTCCATTGAACATTTCTATACAATACGTTATGGAAAGGTATTCGACACCGGTGCGGTCAAATCTACCCATTCGCATGTTTGTGAAAATTTAAAATACGAAATTAAACATATTCTACGAAATATTCACCTTCGAATTATGATATCTCAATTCCACAGCAGTACAGAAAATTCTCCCTAAATGACTCTCAGCTTGGAAACAAAAATGGATAATTTGGGGAGAGCCTTGCATTCAAGTCTTGCATCTCGTTTTTATAGTATTTAAAAATGGTATACTTTACTATAGTACTTTTTATATATATTATATTACTATACCATAAAGTATACCTTTTTTAAATACTATAAAAACGAGATACAATGAAAACCAGATGATGAGGACAATTTGGGAAGAGGAGATACGATTATTCGAGCCTTGCAGCTCGTTTTTATACTTGTTATTTACTACAAATAATAAATAATAAATAAATATAAATAATAAATAATATACTATTATACTACTTTTCATATATGTATACTACATTACTATGGTACTTTTTATGTATATTATATTACTATACTATAATGTAGTATACATATATGAAAAGTAGTATAATAGTATAATATACATAAAAAGTAGTTCAGTAGTATAGTATGTATAAAAAGTATATATTTGTAGTGAATAACAAGTATAAAAACGAGCTGCAAGGCTCGAATGATCGTATCTCCTCTTCCCAAATTGTCCTCGATTAGGGAGAATTTGCTGTACTTGACAAACACATATTTTTTGTGATCAGAAGCTGTTAGAAAATACAAGAGAAATCAACTTTTTCTGTTCTGATATGTAACTGTGGACAGATCCATTTACACCCTTACACACACACATATTACAGTAGATTCTCGCTGCGATTGTCTCTCAGCTTGTAAATAAAAATGGATAACTTTGAGAAGAGGAGATACGATTATTCGTGCCTTGCGGTTCGTTTTTATGGTCGTTGACATCGAGTGACTATAAAAACAAGCCGCGAAGCTCGAATAATCGTAGCTCCTCTTCCCAAATTGTTCATTTTTATTTATAAGCTGAGGAACAATTGCAAAGAATTAACTGTAATTTCTTTTTGAACCTATATTTGAGATTAACATTGGCGCCATATTCAATTTAATATAAATAGCTAGTAGTCCGCTTTGCTTATTAAAAAATTGATGGAAGAAAGAGACAGCTTCTCTTTGCGGTAACTTCTGTCAATCAGCGAAAAGTAATTAATATTCAAGTACTATTTCAAATATGCTATTTCCTGATCAACTAAGATAGATGTCCCAGTTTCCGTGCCCCCACATTAAGAATGTATAAAAAAAGAAAAGTTTTATATATGAATATTCTTCATTTTAAGCCTTTTCAAATGCTTAGAACTCGATTATCGGAATTAATAGGGAGACAAATGTTTTCCGATAATAGAATTTTCGGATAACAGAATAATTGCTCTTTCTGTATTAAAGATATACATTTTGTTGCTGATCTGTATTTTTATGCCACGACACAAACAATTCGAATGATATATTCCAGCCTAATGACCTGTCTGATTCAAACCAGCCTCCTATAATCAACCACTGCTAGCTTGAAAATTAGGATTTCCTTGCATTTTCTCATTAAAATCTAAAGTTTTCTCGCATATGGTACAGTCATTTCTTTGACTCTGCATTATTGAAGCCACTAGAAAAGCTTTTAGATTTTTTAGAATTTTTGACGGTTTTAGACTTTTACTAGCATCTAATGAGACCTTTGCTTGACTATTTTTGGGCATGTTTGGATAATTGCCTATTAAAGATGTCCACGCACGTTTTACTATTCATTTTTGTAGAAACAAATTCAATATCAGTCTTTCCACAGTATCCTACAGCTGCCCACATCATGATATCATCATCACCCATTTGCCGCCTTTGCTACACGATTTTTGTTGTCCTTAGATCAGAAAAATAATAATTTAGGCCATCAAGCCCATCTAAATTAAAACGCATTTCATCAGAGAAGATTATTTTTTTCCACTTTTTACGCCAATGTATACGATGCTCTGCGAATTCCAATCTGGCTTGTCTATATCTATCAGTTAGTGTCGGTTGCTTTTTCATTTTAAACCTTTTCAAATGCTTAGAACTCTTTATTATTCTCTGCACTGCCCTAACACTCGTTTCTACACCGAATTCCGATGCTATTCACCGTGCTGTCATTGTAGAAATCGAAGTACATACATATGTATGTCTTAAAATTAATCGCCTTTCTCGCACAGTTATTGATTTTGGACGACCACCGGGGTTCTTTTTCTTTAACATATTTTTCTTTATTTTTGAAATAGTTACGAACTATACAATTTTATATATAAATACTATGCAATTTTTCGCACTGAATAGTTTTCCTTCTTTGAATTGTTAATTATATTGATCTCCGTTACATTGAAACTTTTTTCCGTGGGACATTTTGTATAATCAGAAACTATTGCACACACGATATCACTTTAAATACTACACATAGATGATAAAAACAATTGGAAACAAAAATCTCTTCTCGCAATGTTCGGTTTGCCGGTTCATCGGTGTCTGTCTTACGTATTTCACGCAACAGAACGTCATGCTTTTTAAGAGTGTAAACGATAATACTACGAGTGAAAGACAAATAAATTTCTACGTTACATAGAATTTCTCGCAATTTTCGTCAGCGTCTTATAGTTCTGTCGCGGTGTATATGCACGTAAACTGGGATATCTACCCTAATATTTGATTTGATCTCTCCTATGATTTGATTTGATTTGATCTTTGATACGTGATTCATATCTTCCTTACCGTTCCAGTAAATACAATGTAATTATTTTAGCTGCTGCCTATAAAAAACTCTTCAAATAAACGAAGGAGATCTGTGTGAGGGATGTTGTCACCTGATGAACATAAAAACTAGGCTAGCCATAAGAAGGAATGTACATAACAAAAGAATAGATCACACGTGTGCCTGTTCTCATTAGAATCGGCTTGTTTGCGCGAAGCAGCGGCTGGTACGCGGCCTGCGTAATACTGACCGATAACGATTGACTCGGCGAACTCACGTGCACGTTACACCGGCCGATAACGAACGGCTCGTCAAAGTTACGCATACGTGACACCGGTCGTCAAGGCGTGCACGCCGGCTAATATTAATTCCGTAAAGTGCATCGACAGGACCGGTTGCCGCTTTGATCTAACAAACTTCGTTATCCGGCACTCGATAAATCGCGTTAGCTCATACATGAAATATGCCGCGCGGCCCGACCGGACAAAAGTCAATAGGGAATTACGATTCTAAGTTCATACTTATCGGTGAGCCATTCGATAAATTGCAAATTTTACAGATCCGCGGATGCGCGCGCCGTTGCAGATTGCATCCCGGCCGTATCTATGGAAATGAGCGTTTTGCATGCATACGGCCGCCACACCGTAAAATATGATCGGCAGAGTGATATATCGCGGATTAAGGACGCGCATTTGATTAAAAATTAATAGCTTGTTTCTCGTCATATTTCCCATTTTTGGCGAGGATCGTTCCGCGTTCGAAACTTGATACTTTGAAGTTCGGTCGCGGTAATTGGCGGCGGATGCGCGAACATCAGGTTTTCGGCACCGCGTTCGTTTTTTCACGTTATTTTAGTCACGAGGCGCGGTGACTCGCGTATTCGATCATGTAACACGGTCACGTTGTTCGTTTATTTGACGCTGAAACTAGCCGACGACGTATCAAAAGCACAGAGTTTTTAATTTGCAAGTGCGAAGCTTGCGACGAAGCTGTCGTTCTGAAAAGTCTCAAATCTGAAGAAATAGATTCTCGTTATTGACCGATGAAAATAGAAACAAATTATGTATTGGGTTGGCAACTAAGTAATTGCCGATTTGTTCAATGAAATGAAAAATTATTTTTTACTTGGAACGAAGTTTAATCTGTAATGTATTTTCCATTTTGTTCGATGACCTTTTGCCATCTCTCTGACAACTTGAAAATTCCACGCTGGTAGAAAGTCCGATCCTTTTCGGCCAAAAACTGAGTTAAGTGAGATTTTACAGCGTCATCGTCATTCAAAGTTTTACCACGAAGGGAGTTGTCCAGGGATCGAAATAAGTGGTAATCCGATGGCGCGAGATCAGGGCTATATGGTGGGTGTAACATCAATTCCCAACCAATATCCATGAATTTTTGCCGAGTGGACAAAGATGTGTGCGGCCTAGCATTGTCCTGCTGGAAAATCACACCTTTACGATTGACCAATTCTGGTCGCTTTTCCTTGGCCGCTGCATTCAATTTGTCCAGTTGCTAACATTCACGGATAATACAAAACAACATAATAATAATAATAATAATAATAATTTTATAATATAACATTTACGGATATCATAAAAATGGGAGTGAGAGACATCTATAACTGAAA